ATTTATTTCATTCTGTATTAAATTTCGGTGTCAGACTCCATCCTCCATACAGCATGTTCGAGTGTGCAGGTGTATAGAACTCTCTCCCACTGCTCCTGTGCACGAGTCCTGTTACAGAGTCATAAGAATACAACACACTGTTACACAGTGACTGTAACTGTGTATGTAAAAATATTACTTGTTACATTATAGCCTACATACATATTTCATTCATTTCATTAGTGCAGTGCCTATCACATCTGTCAACTCACTACACGTATCAGAGCTCCACTACGTAGTTGCCTGCAGCTACACTTCCCCTGTCCTCGCGACTGTAATTTCCACTATCTTCAATTACACCAGTGGTTCTCAACCTTTGTTGGGCCAGCGCCCCCGTATCCATTATCCAGGTCCCTTTTTATTGTTACTATTGTTATTAAAAACATGGAAAAGGTAACAAAAAAGCCTTGTGAAAAGTAATTATATTTAAGTGAATGTTCCTCCCAGAAATTGTGTCTGAAGCCAGATACTGTTTTCTTGGATGGGCCACTTAATAAGTGGGGGGTATGGGGGTCCTCCCCCAGAAGATTTTGAGCATCAAACACTAATTTTCTGGTGAAAATTTCTCCTCCAATTTCTGCCTTTTCTGCACCAGTTTATGGTGGAAATGTCTAAATATTCAGGTGGCGGCTGACAACTCAAAAATATAATTATAATAGAATATAATGTAGTGAGGCTCTCAGGTATTCTTTATTGTTTTTAAATATTTTTCTCCTGTAGATCAACTTATTTAATATCATCCCTGCTGAGTCAACACACGATTAAGTCTTACTACCTCTTTTGTGGGGAATTAACCTATTTAAATGTGTTTGTGGCCCCTTTTCATCTCAGTAATAAATTAATCCGTTTTAATAAGTTATTGACTGGACTCTATTAGCTCGTCTGTTAATAACTTATCATAACTCAGTGTTTCCCACAGAATGACAGTGTAACTGTGGCGCAGATACAGCATGCTAGCCTCGAAAACCCAGCTGTTTTCTAACATTAACTTAGCTCTCCTTATTAGCTAGGCTCCTTAAATACTTGCTAATAACTTTTAATAGCTTGGACACCAGGGAGAGAGAGCGAGAGATCGAGGGACAGGTGAGAGAGAGGGACGAGCGAAAATGCGCTGCCTGCAGCTCTGCAGTAAAATACAATTTTAAATATGCCTAGAAAAAAAAATCGAAAATCAATGTGAGGCGGTCAGCGTTGATATTGTGGCGTGCCGCCACAAATAAATGAACGCATGGGAAACACTAACTTTTCTGCTCATGTTCAAAAATTTCAAAAATATTCAGAATCTCTCCCACTTATCTGTGTTCTCTGACATGTAAAGAAAAAAAGTCGTAATAGGAGACTAATGTCATTAGCCTATTTAAATAGAATTCATAATATTTTACTACATACCCTATACTGCATTATGTTACCAATTCGCTGGAAGTATCCCCTCGACTGTCTGATAGACACAGAACTGGATGAGACGAGGAGGAGCTCGAATGCCGGGGGAAAGCGAAACTAACCGACAACACCTGTTATCAGGCAGAAATCTCACGTCAACTGTTAAAACATGTTAACTTCAGCACCTCTGATAAAGTGCCGCTAACAGTCCCCAACAGAGCAAGTCAGGGCATTTTTATAGCCTACTGAAACTCCTGTATATGTCTGCTTTGGTACAAGCTGTCTGCAACTCAAAGCGCGAGGTGGGTCCACGTCACTCGCTGGTGTTGCTGCGAAGTTGCTTTCAGGGTAAGTCTGTCAGCGGAATATCCCTCATGTAAATGTGTAACCACTGCGTTCACGGTATATTCCTCAGAGAAATAAACACTTTTCCACCAAGAAAGAGAATGTCCGTTTTACAGAGTTTTTAGAGATGATTCTCTGACTTCCCGATCCAATGAAGGCAGCACGAAGCTGCACCACAAGTAGGTGACAGAGAAAAAAAAATACACCGTCGCAGTGAACTAAACTGGCGGGTTTTAATGTTGCAGACCACAGTTTTTTTGAAAGTTTAAAGTTGTATTGTAGTGAATCTTTGGTGTAAACTCGCCTTAGATTTTCTAACCAACAAACGCCCCCCAAAAGCAGCTCAGCACCCCCCTTTCCAAAATATTGCTTCCAGCGCCCCCCATCGCCCCCGGTTGGGCGGTACCGCCCCCATTGAGAAACACTAAATTACACTAAAAAACAAAAAGGGGGAAAGAGCATGTTAGGTGTTACTTTGTAGTCATAACAACACTAATGACACAGTGTCGACATTACATTGCAGCCCCTGCTGTAGTCAGCAGCACTGAAAGAATGTTTCACGAAGCAGTACTTAATGTTTTATTAGACTATAAATAATCAAAACTCTGGTTTAGTCAAATTTTTAGGACAAACAGGGCAGGATTCAGGATTCGGGACTGCTCGTAAGTCGCGATGCCCCCCAATATGTATAAACGTGTATTCAGACATAATGTGTTAATTATTTGATTATAGATGAACAGTTACATGATGATGGTCAAACTAACTACTTACTTGTGTTGATCACTTTAGCTTTGCCAGACCATAAAGTCTGCATAGAGTCTGAATTCCCAGGTGTTCTGTTGTTGTTGCCAAAGCTGGTATTTATGGAAGGTGTATGGAGAGAACAGACTTCGGGATGAAGCTACAGCACATCTGTTTTGTCATGCTGGAGCTGGAGAAGTAGAATTTGTGTTTGACTCTTTTTGTGTGTGTGTGTGTGTGTGTGTGTGTGTTAGTGCTACTTGACCAGTGATTAGAGTTTGAATTACCAGCCGGAACAGAGAAAACAGTGTAAACGCTTGCTCTTAAACCACTTATTGTATATTGTAACACCGGAAAGGTAGAATCTGAAGATTTGGAAATAATGGATAATGTTTCTGTTGTAAGAATATTCCTTCTATCAGGGGTAAATGAAACAAGTAATTATAGAGTAACTCTCTTTACATTTACTTTGCTGTATTACTGTGTGATTTTGTTTTTAAATCTCTCAATCATCATGATCATAATCTTAGATGAAAACCTGCATGAACCTATGTACATCTTATTGTGCAGTTTTTGCATGAATGGACTTTATGGAACCACAGGTTTCTACCCCAAATTCCTCTTAGATCTGCTGTCTTCTTCTCAAGAAATCTCATATGAAGGATGTCTCTTACAAGCTTTTGTCATGTACTCATTTGCTTGTTGTGAATTGTCCATTTTAGCAGTTATGGCCTACGACAGATATCTGGCTATATGTCAACCACTGCACTACCACTCTTATATGTCAAAGAGGAGGCTCTCCCAGCTGGTATGTTTGTCTTGGCTGACACCTTTCTGCATTTACTCCGTCAATGTTGTGGTCACATCAAGACTAAAATTATGTGGTTCGAAAATTCAGAAACTCTTTTGTGTGAACTGGATAATTGTTAAACTTGCTTGCTCCGAAACTGATACTGTTTCTAGTAACATTGCTTCATTTGCAACACTTTTCATTTATTTGTCTCATGGATTTTTCATAATTTGGACTTATATCCGTCTTATCATAACTTGTGCAAGGTCCAAAGATGACAGGGTAAAGTTTATGCAGACATGTGTGCCCCATTTAGTCTCTTTAATCGTATTCCTTGTTGTAGTAGTTTTTGATGTGATGCATATGCGATTCGGTTCTACAGATTTACCTCAAAGCCTTCAGAACTTCATCGCTATTGAATTTCTGCTGATCCCTCCTGTTATAAATCCTCTAATATATGGATTTAAACTGACAAAAATACGAAACAAAATTCTGGGTTTAGTAAAAGTTGAAAGAAAATGACCTCTTATATTATATATTTATATGAATATTATTTAAATAATTATTTTAATTTGTTTATTCAACACAGACAATACAGATAAACATTGTTACATAGAAATAAGTACATCACTGCAACATTATGTAATGAGCTAATTTGCAGCCCCCCTAAGGCAATTCACTTTAATGTGAAACATTAGATGTGTTTGCTTTAAGATATCTCATGATTCTGGGTTTTTTCCTCCTAATGTCTCCACAATGTCCCAGTTTGTTCTACATGTGCGAGGCCTCAATACATTCTTACTAACAAAGAATTGATCTTTTCAACATTATTTCTTGTATGTTATATGTAATGTGAATATATATGAATGTTTGTTCTTCTGCTCTTGTCCATCCATCCATCCATCGTTAACCGCTTATCCTGCGTACAGGGTCGCGGGGGGCTGGAGCCAATCCCAGCTGACATTGAAGTTTTGAATATTGTCTTTATTGTGTTTGTGTGTCTAACCCTTTCACATGAATTAGATTGTTATGGACATTTGATTTACTCTTCATCAATCATATATCATATGCCCACTGCTTTTTGAATTGAGCATACTAAACATACTGTATGTGTATTTTAGGTGCCTTCTTTCTGTCTGTTAGAAAATATTGTGAAAGTAAGTGATTGCCAACATATTGCTACTAAACTTTCAATTTTTATTCTG